ATTAAGCACTCTTTTGGAGTAATTATTTGATTTAGATATGGATGGTCTCTACTTTTCAATTACGCAGAAAGAAGAAAAATGGTGAAAAAAAAAAGTTTGAGTTCTATCTGAGGTTTGCATTGTGTAATGTTAATAACATACAAAACTTGAGATGATGAAAAGATATTTTATAAAATCTTTACTTGAGTGGCAACCTTGATTTAAAATTAATGTTTTCATCAAGCATGATTGGCTCAAATTACAAGTTATCTGAGTTTCAATTCATTAAAAGATTATAAAAAATAATTTTTCATAAATTTATTTGATTAAACCGATTAAAAAAAGTACTCAATACAAACAACTCTTTGCTACTTAAAAAAAAAAATTAGTGCTCTAATTCTATTTTACTTTTGCTTATGAAAACAACAAAGGATTAGTAGAAAAATTGGTCTTTGACTCTTGAGAGTGTCCAAAATTTTGTAAAATTTTCTTAGAAAGTGCATAAAGTCAGAACCTAAACATAGGACTGTGATAATGTCGGAACAACAATTGATAAGTGTAGTAATGTATTATAAAAGAAAGTGATATATGCTTTCACTAATCAAAAGAAAGGTTGATGCAAATTTCTCCTCCCTTCCTTACCAAATAGAAAAGTGGGAAGATATGATTTTTCCTTTTCTTTTCTTTTATGCAGAAGCAGGGAAAAGGTTTTTCGTAGTGGAAAACAACTCAATCCGCATGATCTTTGTCTCTAATTGCCCTCCCCTGCCCTGGCTACTTTCTCTGTTCACCACATTATGTTCTTTTTTGTGCGGTTATAGTGTGAACTCTGAGCCCCACTTTGATAACTTACTTTAGAATGTTATGCTTTTTATTTTTTTATTTTTTCTAGAGAGAGATCAAAGCTTAAGAAGCATAAGAAAAGGAGAATTTGTAAATGCTAAACCATTAAAATGAGTAAAATTATAACATTTTGTGCATATTAATTCATTCTTTGACATCACATAATGTTTTTTTTTTAATATAGCAAATATATCAATCATATCAATCACTCATAATCAATACTCATAGATATTCTCAATCTCTGTTAGTCTTATAAAGTATTTTCAATCAAAATAAACACATACATATGTACACTAACACCTATGTAGACTATCTTAATTTCCTCTAATCCACCTAAACAAACAATCATCATACTTATGTGAATACTTTCAATATCCTCTAATCCACTTTCAAACATTTAAATATACACACCCATAAGGACATTAATCTCTAGTAGTCTTAAGGTGTCTAACCAATAAAACCCTACAATTTTCATATATATTTTTCTTATACCTAATCCAATAAAGACTACCTATTTATAATCATACTAACTTACCTATCAAGAATTCATTTCCTCTTAAAATTATTCTCCTGTAAGTTTTTTTGTTTATCAAGTAATATCTTGTCAATCTCAAATAAATTTCTTGTGTGATTTTAATATTATTCCCAACAATCTCTATCTTGACTTAAAATTTCATCAAATCATCAATTTTAAGGCTAGATATGCTTGGTTTCACCTGTAATGGAAGCCTCATAACAATCTTTTCTATGTCTTCACGTAAACCGATTTTCAAAACATGAACTCGAGCTCTTCCCTTGAATCGAGTTCCTCTGTACTTGTCTTTTTTCAAGTCTCGAAACTTCAGCTCTAATATCGGTTATTAAGATCACGATAACTTTAATACTACTTGTTAGACAAAAAGCCTCAATTTAATTGAACATTCACATTGAAGGAAACAAAATCAAACAATTAATCAATCACACAAGATATAGCAATTTTACGTGATTCGACTCAACCGATCTACATCCACAAATAAACAAAAGATTCACTAGTTATAGAGAATTACAAATGTACAAATTATATCAACTACTTACAATCAATGCCCATAAACACTCTTAATCTCCTCTAATCTTATGGAGTATTCTCAACCTCAATAAACACATGTCCATGTGTACTCATACTTATGTGAACTATCTCAATCTCTTCTAATTCACTTAAATAAAAAATCATCATATTTATGTGGAGCCTTTTAGTTTTTTCTAATCTATTCACAAACATTTAAATATACATATCCAAAAGGACGTTAATATCTAGTAGTCTTATGAAGTGTCCACCTAATAAAAACCTACAACTCTTTTATATCTTTTTCTCATATCTAACCTAATAAAGATTCTATCTGTTTATAACCATTCTAACTTGTCTATTAAGAATTCATTTCCTCTTAAAATTCTTTTCCTGCAAATTTTCTTATCCATCAAGTAATATCTTGCTAATTTCAAATAAATTTTTTATAGGATTTAAATCATTATTTTCAACACAAGAGAGTTTGCTTCCCTGAAAATATGTTTAAACTCAACCCTCCCTATTTCACTTATGAGTATATCCACTTCATTGAATATCTGCCAATAATTCCAAGGCTGCCTATCAATCTTTGAACTTTACCCAAGGTGATTTAGAAGATATCGGCAGAGCTTCTTTGATTGCAACAATTTCTGCATAATTTGAGTTCTAAATTCTAGGTGGACCATAAAAAATTCTCAAAATCAACCAATATATCGTCTCTCAACTCCCCCCCACATCCAGCAACACCAGTGGCTCCAAGAGATGATCCATCAACGTTAATTTTTAATTTGTTTGGAGCTGGACATGTCCACTCTACCACTGATGCCACATTACCAACAGGGGCTGTAGGAGCCGATTCCATTGGAATTGTCCACCATATGGATTTATCAATCTCTGAATGGTCTTCGATAGCTTTGATCCAATGTAGGGTCCTCAGTTTAAATGCTCTCCTCTTGTCCTTGACACAAAATATAAAAAAATAAAAAAGAATGAGACAGATCACTTCTTGAATTAACCAGAACATGTGCCGCACTCATCACTATATATTCTTCAATTGTTTTTTGCTAATGCAGCATGCAAAATATTGCACTATCTAATGTGGATTCAGTGTCATTGAAAATCTCAACTTAGATCAATGGCCAATTTTGGACAGGCAGAAAAATTTAAGAATCGTCGATACAAAGTTTTACCAAGATAAAAATTACTCAAAAGTCTAGACCCAAATTCATTAATTATAAAGAACAGTAAGCCTTTGTGTCTAAGTTCTACCAACTATCTAGCTTTCTGTTTCATACCTAAAATCTTCAAAATCCTTTTGAGTGGAGGCAACGACCAGAGACCTACATCCTATCTGTATATTATTTGTTTTAATTAAAAAATTTTACGATTTTATTTTATAAAAAAAATTTCATAAACTTTTAATTTAAATTATTATATATATATCATATTATATTCACATATTTTTTTACGTTATATCAATATTAAAAAATTTGTGTGGTAAAAGAAAATGTGATGATTAAGTTTGCAAGGACTTACTGGCGGCCAATTGGAGCTTTAATTGGGTTGGCTGTCAAATGGAAGCCAATTAGGGTCTCAAATTGGGACCTATATGAAAAATAATATTAAAACTATTCTAATATAATGTATGTATTTATGTACGTACCTTTAGATGTCCATGATGTTTATTTGCAAGTTATCAGCAACAAATTAATACGCTATCACGTTTTATCAAAGATCCCATTTTCTTATAACGTTCTTTAGCAAAACATGCAACCTTATCTTGAAGGGAAATTATATATGGTTACGCCCTTTAATTTCCCCTATATATCATTGGTCCAACAATGAAGATCTGATTTACGAAATAAAAATTATCACATCAACTTAAATGAGATTATACTTCTTATTAATTGAATTAAAATTATTAAATTAATATTCTTATGTAAATATTATTCTACGTGTAATGACAAATTAAACAAATTAACACCCTATGATCACCGGTGAATAGAAGCAAAGGCCAATTTACACCCCTGCCCATACTGATTATTGAATTATAGGCTTAGCCCATATTTGAGATCTTGTGAAGTCATATTTTCAAATGTTGTAAACTTATATTATTGCCTCTGAATGCATTATCCTAACCAGAAATTATTTTCAATGGATCAATAAACTAATATTATAATATATTTTTGTTGGGTTGAATTTTCATATATTTGAAAATCGTTTTATAATCCTTCCATTATTAATATTGTCAAATAATTTTTTAATATATATAATCAAAATAAACACTAATCACTCATCAATCTATCTCCTATTCAATTATGCAATAGATTTTTAACTATACTTCAAATTTAATTAAATTGTTACTACACTTCTATTTTTGTTGGGTTTTGGATAATATGGAATTGATGAAAATTTGCAATTTGCAATAAAGAATATCTCGTTAAATATTTCAATTCCATTATTTTTATCTAAAAATCAACAAAATTAAATATATATATATATATAGTAGCAAAATTTATCATTTACATAAACAAAATATTCCATGAGATACTCCAATTTCATTATTTTCGTCTAAAAATAAAAAAAATTCATAATAAAAAAATTCAATAAATTAAAATATAATAGAAAAATTCAGTATTAAGTCATAGTGTAATGATAAATTTCACTTTAATCCCAATAACTGGCGGATTACATATATAACATTTTTTTTACCGTCACTAATTTTTTACTAGTTTTTTTTTTTTATGAACTAAGGCCAAATATGTGATTTCTACTTTTTGATAACTATACATGAATAATCAAAATTTCTTAGTCAATTTCAAATTTATCTTAAATTAATATATATTATCAAAATTTAAAATTTTAATGGGACAAATTCACAAGCTGCCACATATTATCAAAAAGTTTTAAATTTCTGTGGAATCAAATGTCCATGCCCCTGTTTGAAGGAAAAAAAAAACTTGTACATCATGTGCCAAAAAAAACTACAAAAAATTGTATATGGATACAATTAACTAATTTTACAATAAATTAATATATATTATGATATAAGACCACAAAACTGAAAGCATTTATTGCTATAATAACAACTCCAGCACATTACAAAGGCAAAAGAAAATTGTCCACACAATCTCGATGTCAAATATCTCATTGTGGCTAATTAATTTTATATTTCGCAAGATTCATCAAAACATTATAGTAATAACTTAATTAGTTAGGAAATTATCATATATATTTGGTTAGCAATATATTTATATAATGTTTACACCTCCGTATTTGTAGGTCTACTGCTACAATTATTCATTGTTGTTGCAGAAGAATTCCCATTTTCTGGACTTGGCTCGCTAATTATAATGATAACACTAGGGAAATTAGCATCATTGGAAGATTTCACAATTTCAGGTTGTCCTGTCTCTGGTTTTTGTGGTGAGACAGTTGGCTCAACGGCTTCAAAATTTACCATGGATGAGAGTTCATGAACAGATTCAGCAATTTCCACCGTGCAGGTGACCACTTCGATTAATAACGAAGCTACTGTGGCCACTGGTACCAGTTGCAAGAGGTCCACATCGCCATCCCATAAGCCTGATTTGAGTAAAGAGTTGAGATTCTTGGCAGCAGATTTTGAGTTTTCGATGTGGGTACCAGCAGAAAATGGTTTCACCATTCTTTTGATAGCGAATGCTAATTCCTTCAATGCTTTGCCAGATTCCAAGCTCATTTTTGTGCATGACTCTTGGATTTTACTTCGAATTTCTGGATTTGCCTGCAACAATAGCATAAGATGACAAGTTAATCCAAATTATATTACCTTTTTTTAAAGTTAATTGTATGAACCGACTGATTTTCGCGTTCATTTAAGTACATGAATTTTCTATTATCCCTACTTTTATCACTCATGCATTTTTGTATAAACATGCCCAATTTGACTAATCAACAAAACAAGGTGTTTAACCCAAAAAGAAAAGGAACAACACATGATGTAATCAACTTTTCCATCTTTTGGTTTTTAGCTTTTTCACTAATGACTATTATTTTTTGTTGTTTCTTAGAAATTAGAGTAGCCAAGTAGCAATGTATTTACTGATCGCATTGAGACGTGGAGATTTAGATAATACTTGAATTTCAGCATTTATGTGTCCATTAAGAGATTCAATTCGATAGGCACACTGGCGTGTTAGAGCTCCAATCTTCAGGTACTGTTTCCACGGATGTCGAAACTGAAATCGACCATGCCCTGGCTCCCATCTTGCAAAATTAGACTAAAAGTAACAACAACAATGACAAATATCAGATACCAAAAAAAGAAAAACCAAGCTTTCTGATGAGGGATGGAAAGAGAGCTAGAGCTTTTTCACCCACCAAAGCATCTTCGTCACTTTTTGAATTAAGAACACTTTTATATCCCTGTAAGAAGGATTTATCTCCTTTGGACTCACCGTCCTCTGGTATTTTGAAGTACTCATCTCCAAACCCTGCAGAACATTTCTTTTGCTTAGTGTTTGCTTAAAGGGTAATAAATAAATGAATTGCTTTGAACTGAGTTGAGTTCGATTGATTCATGACGAGGCATCCAATAAGTCTTGAGATTTAAATCTTGATCACCTGCGATCTTTTTTTTTCTCTCTCAAGCTATGGCTTACTTGGTACCAAAAACAAAAATAAATGAATTGCTTTTAATGAGTGGAGGAGATGTACCTTCTAGGAAGCTACCAAGCTTTTCCATGTTGGAAGCAATTAAGTTGTGGAGGTCTTCACCAGCCCAGACAGGGAAAAGGAAAATGGAAACTATGACACAGGTAGAGCCACCTATGAGGACGGTTGATGATCTCTTGTGAACCAATTCTAATATTTCATCGTCTCGAAAACCCGATACAGATATCAAAGAGAATGTCAAAATAAATATCAACAACCCATAATCATATCTTGCCTTGATTTTGGGATAGAATCTTGCAAACGTAGACACCGCAGCTGCAAACAGAGATTATTATATATATATATATTTGAATTTGTAATATAAGTTGATTTTTTTTATCCAATTGAAAAAGAGGGGTAGGGGAAAGAGAATTTTTGGTTCACATCTTTTTGTGAAGTGACAGTTTACCTTGGAGGAAGACGAAGAACCCAAGTACTATGGGCTCACCTATCCGTCCAGATAGGTTAGCCAGCTTATGAGCCCCAACAGCTAGAGCACCAGCAAGCAACGTTGCCAATCCTCTATTCACACCTTTCCCAAGAGTAGCCCCTGTTGGAATTAATCATCTTAGTCAAAACTATTTATTTATGTCTATAAAATCTCATCTTTGTTTGATTTTAAGCTGAAATTAAAAGGCCCGGAGGTGGGAAGGGGGGGGGGGTGGGGGGACAAAAAACTTACCCACAGAAAATTCGAAGACTACCACGACAGTCATTACGGCCCACATTGCAGAAACGCCAAAGCTGTCGTATAGTGGCTGATAGTAATAAAATAATGAAACTAAGGTGAGTGCAAGTCCCACTTTCAGTGAATGAACTACTCTTCTTGGATCATCTTGGCCTAGCTTTTTTACCTTGCTAAAAAATTCAAACACCCTAGTCTTTATATTGTTAGGAAATTCCTTTATCCCTGACCATCCACGAGCAAACAGGCCTTGTTTTTCTTTCTCTTGACGTGCAAACTCCAAATCCATAGCTAATTGATTTAGACAGATATCGAGATGATACAAAATCAAAAAAGCTTGCATGAACCGAGAGCAAAAGTTAGAAATTATAAAGAGATAGCAAAGAAGATCAATATGCGTTTGGATGGGGCAATATGCGAGCCTCTATTTATAAGTAAAAACAAGCATCTCTAACAGTGATCAATAAAATATAAGCATTGCGGCCCTTTTATTTCTTGTACGGTAAAGTACAAAGAAATTTCAAGGGAACAAGGCAATAGATGAGCTGTATGCTAGGTGCCCACGCTTTCTCCCCTTACCCAAACCCCATTTTTGGTTTCTCCTATGCAATTCAACTTGCATATATATATATATATTTTTTGGGTGTTCTCTAGTACTAGGTATTTGTGATGGTGATAGCCCAAGGCTCTGAGCTAGTCAAGTGCGGGAAGCAATGTGAACTGGAACCCATGCCCTCCATTAATTAGAAATGAACTTATCAGTTTCCAACCATATCCGAATCTTTTTCTTGCTGGTTAAAAACACAGACGCTACTGGAAACTGAGGTTCTATCTATCACAATTTACAACAACTAAATTATTGCGCACAAAAAAAAAATTATCAATTTAATCTTTGGTTTACAACTGATCATTTTTTAATTTAATACAAATGATTTGTTTTCACTATTGGATTAAATTTAATTAAGTTTGTTGGCTGTTCTGAATAGAGTTGCATTGCGTCATTCTACAAGATATAAACAGACGCATGACGGCCAAGGCTAGAGATGCTATCACTTTACTATATAGTCAACTTCAAAAAGAACAATTTGAACTTGAAACCTTAAGGCAGGATGCAATCATTAATTTTATTATACTATTTTTTTTTAAGAAAAATTCAAGGATCGATAGATTGTTTAATTCTTCAGGTTATAATAAGAGGTACTGTACTTGATAGCTTAATACAAGTGATTATAAATTATGTATTTGAGATGATCTCAATAAATGATCACCGAAAATATTTAAACTTAAAATTTTTTTATAAAAAAGATGAATCTTAATCAATTAAACTAACCACTTATTAATAATTTTATTATACAATCACTTTCAAGCTTCAACAAACTACTTTTTTGTTTTAAACACTAATAAATAGATAAATTAATTAATTATATCTATTGTGATTATATAAAAGGTGAATGAAATTTGTACTAAAAATCCTGAGTTACGTCATGTATTTAGAGTATTAGGATGACTGAAAAAATTTGATTTGGTAGACTCAAACTTAGTCTAGTATTATTGTTATAGTTGAAAAAATTGAATTGAAAAAGTATGTTCAAAGATATTGTAAAAAATACAATTTAAAAATTTAAGTATTTAACATTATTCTGAAAAAGTGATGTAAATCTAAATATCCAAAAGAATATACATAAAATAATAAAAAATTATAAATATGATTATCATAATAAAGTCATTTTACCTATAAAAATTGCGATTAACAGAAAAGTTATATTTTTTGTTGTTTAGCATTAAAGCTAGATCAAATGTAGGTTTTAAACGCAAAAATCACTATTAATTTCCACTAAGCTAATCCTAAGAATACCAAGACCCTCTGGTATGACTTCTTAATATCATTTTAAAAGCCCAAGTATTTACTACGAGTCATTTTTTTTTATGCATGTATGGCATAAAATTTATTAAATATAAACTAATTAAACAGGAATATGAAAAAGAAAATATCGTTTATTAGTTTTAAATTCTTCAGTTGTTATAATTCATATGATAAAGGAATCTTACCAACTTAACAATTTATAAGTTAATAATAAAGGATAAACTTTTATATATTTATTTTTTTACAATTAATTGATATATATTTATTTATTCTTAGTTATTGTTCTGTACTAATTTGGTATTATTTATAATGATAAGATGTTTTATTAAGTACTATTGCTACAAAATTTTAATTAATAAGATTTAAAATTTTTTCTTCAACATGTAATCAAGAGTCAGTGTTATGAAAGTTTTAAAGCCATCGATGAATTTAAAAACGAAATGAAAAAAATAAAAAATGGAGTCATCACAAATTTTTTTGATTATATGCGATTAGTTACTTATTAAAATATATTTTTTAATAAAATTTTAAAATTAATTAAAATTTATTAAAAATATGTTTTAATAGATGATCAATTGAACCTAACAAAAAAAAATGTAGCGACTCCATCCATTTTTTTTCTTTTCATTTCTAAATTCGTCGGACGATTCTAAAATGGTTAAGATAGCATAGGGACTCCACTAAGGACATCATTTTTTTTTAAAAAGTCAGACCAAAAAATTAATTATGTGTTGTCTTTAATTTTAATTTAACTTTAATTTTTTTGATTTTGATTTTTTTAAAATAACAATAGTAATGAAAAAAGCTACATGCATTTCATTTTAATTATTTCTTTTGTTCATTATTTATTCTCAATAAATTGTGACACATGTAGGATAAAAATTGTGATGTTATTTTCTTTCACACATGGCACATTCATATAATGCATAAGCTTTTTACCCAAGCTCCGTCCCTTTTAAGAGGAAGTAAAGCACCTATGCTCTCGTAAGGTGATAATCTTCACAATGACAAATAAAATATTTTCACTCAAATTGAATTATTTTCGTTTGTAGCCTTTAATGGGTGAGAATCGATGTGCCTCACTAGTCCAATATGGACACTAGTGAGGAACAATTTAGGGAATTTTTGGACAAAAAAATCCTCACTTAGCATATAGTGAACCTTAAGGGACAAGCATTCGATAGAGGGTTGCCGCCCTTTTTGTAAAAATAACCCAAATATGCATTAAAATTTTGAAAAAAAAAGAAATAAATAATAAAAAAAAATTTCTCAAAGAAAATTTTTTTTTCTTTTGACATATAGTTCATTCATTTAGTAGTTATCCAAAATTTACATTTTCAGAAAATATTTTAAAATAAAATGAAAAAAAAAATTTTGGCATTATCCAACAAGCATAAAAAATAACAAATTTTTCAAAAAAATTAAAGGTTTTTCTTAAATTTTTTTTATTGGCCAAATAAAAATTAATTTTCGAATCCTAGTTATTCTATGTGATAAAAATGTGTTTTTTCTTGTAAAAAAAATTAAATTAAATTTGAATGTTGTTTCATCTTTTGCATTTTCATCTAATCTTTTGCAGACATTTTTACCATTCAAAAAAATAATAAGATAATATGTGTACCTCATCTTATGTGTATCATAATAAAATAATATATGCATTTTATCTCATTCATATCAATAGACAGTACATGCATTTCATTTCATGCACATACATGCCGTACGCATCTTAATAAGTAGTGCATGTACTTCGTCTCATTACATATCTTAAGGCAATATCTATCTCATTAAGCTAGCATAACACATGCATTGCATTTCATATAAACATATCTTATGCACATGATAGGTCCGTACATTTCATACAAGTACGTTGCATTAGTCATAGGTATACATCTTATTACTTATGTAAGTATGTCATTGCATTTCATGCATATGGATTCATGAATGGTAGGGTTTTATAGAACACGTATTGCATCTTTTATCCCACCATCGTTATAATAAAACACTACATTCCTGGCATATATGTTCATAGATGATGAAATTTTTATCATTTGGGGTCTTGCACATAAAAAATTCATTGACTTAGGCAAATATGCATTTCATGACATTCTTTAGTCATCATATTTATGTATTCATAAACATGCTTTATGTGTCATGTAAGTTAAAAATTATTTTTGTGGCTTTCATTTAAAAAGGGTAATAATATAGAATTTTTTATCTGAGTCCTGAAATAAAACGTCTGTCTTGGTGAGAATTAAAATGACAAGAATAAAAGATCAATTGAAAGCAAAAATTAGTGCATTGGAGTTAAATCAAGAGTAATTTTGGCACAAGCTCCGAGAGATGAAGTAACAGATGGCTCAATTGATAGAAATGGTTAAAGATAATGGTGGGGTTAAGTTTGTTACTTTTTAAGGATCGCTGTCACTTTTGATTCCATGAAATCAAGATCAACTGACTTTTGTTAGTTTTAGCACTTTTTTCGAGCATACTAAAACATTGGGTGATTCGAACAGTGACTAAAATTTGAGCAACCTCAAAAAAAGAATGGGTGAATTGGCCATACAAATGACTGAACTCAAAAGTCTGATTTTCAAGATGGAGTCACCAAACTTCAAACAACCATCACTAACTATTTCGAGTCCAAACCCGAGCTTAAGTCCTTCTTATAACTACTTTTAACCTTCTTTCCAAGCATCTAAGATTCATCCCCCAAACTTCATGTAACTTCTAAGAATTTCAATCATGAATTCATGCCCATCATCTCACATTTTACAACCAATTGTTTAGCATACTATCCTATCACCACTTTCTTAAGCCAATTTTTGATTTAAAGTTTCCAATTCACTCCAAGACCAACTATACCATTATTTTTCCAGCAAAACAAACTAACCATAGAATAAAAAATCTTTTCCAACATTAAAGGAAAAACCCCTAATGATTCAATACCCATGTTTTACACAGATTTATACCCACGCTCTCAAAGAACTACTTCATTGCCCCTGTCCCTATTGAACCCCTCAAACCACTTTATCCCAAATAGTATGACTTCAATGCCCAATGTGAATACCATCTTGGTATTACTGGCCATTCTTTGAAAGATTGCATATCTTTGAAATATAGGGTACAAAAACTAATGAAAATCATATATTAAGGTTTTGGCATCAAAATAAAGCCAATTATAAGATAGCAAGCAATGTTGTAAGCAATAGTCAAATTGGCCAAGATAATAAATAAAAAGTAGAAGCCTCAAAGCAAATGGTTATCCTCCCCAATAATCATAGTCAACTGTTTTTAGATTTCTTAGGCAAGGCAAGGGGGAGTATGAGCTAATCTAGCACTTTTTGGCCCTAGTCTTAGGATGGTTAATGATGTGTAAATTGAAACTCTTAGGAATGAATGAAAACTTTTGAATGGACATTTTAGTTTATGTTTCATTTGTAAATAATGGTATACCTAAATGAGCTCATGAAAAAAAAGAGATAATTGTAAATATGCTTTTATCGAACTTTTAAGGCAGAAAAAATATCTTTAGATGACCCAGCCTGAATATAAGATAGAACTCAAGCTCTTTCTTAACAATAATAATAAAATTTGACTTTCATATCATGTATCATTTGTTTGAATTTATTATTTTTCATGCTAGCTAAGGACAAGGAATGGTGATTGTGAATATAATTTTGTCAAACTTTCGAAGTAAAAAGATATTTTTTGAGAGTTTTA